AAAGCCTATTATATCTATTAGGTTTCTTATTATTATTTTTCTTTTCTCACTTTGAACGCATTTTACGAGGACTTAGCATATTCAAAAACTCAGGAAAACTTGGCAGTAAATTGTCCCCCCGCGTGAAATCGCATGATTTTAATGGAATCCAAAATGGCCGCCCCCAAATTACGCCACAGCGCCCCCTAACGTGATTTGGGGTAAACCGTAAGTCACAGAGATCTGAAATTTTGCACACAAGTAGATCTCCTCAAATCATGAAAAAAAGTCTCTTGGAGGTATGCCCTAAAACCCATAGCAAGTCGGCCATTTTGGGTCAAAATGCGATTTTTGGCCATTTTTCATTGTTACTATTTTTATATGTGTACATCCAGTGTGACGATCTCTGTACTGGACCTGAATTGAACAGAATGGGATCTGTAAAACACAATAACAGTAAAAAAAAATATTAAAATCCGCAAAACGCAATCTGAAAAAGAGAAGTATAAAACAAAAAATGAAAAAGAAAATAAAATCCGAGAGCAAAGCAACGTTCCTCTCAAAACCGTTTTTTGATTAAGAGGCTTTTTAAAGGTTTATTTATGTATCGATTTTGTTTTTCTTTAAATTTCTATTTACAGAACATGTTGCTTGCTTCCAACAATAATGGAACTAAATTCACCCCATACTTTAATCCAAATAGGCATGAGCTACTGTGACATTTAACATGTGGTTAAAATACCACGCCAATATTCACAAAATCAACCAAATGATAAGTCATTTTAATTAAGGATCATTAAATATTTTCAATAATCGTATTTGTTTATTGTTTTTTGATTTTCATAAATAGATTAAATCTGAAATCTAAAAACAATCTGTGTTATTCAATTGTTTCGAAATTCAAAGTAATTATTCAGATTATTCTGAACTAGATTAGTTATAATGTGTTTAGATGTATAACCTGTTTAACTAGTTGGGCTTTGTCAGTATTTTTATTCATTTTTTTATTTAAAACCAACTATTTCTGTTCTTTGCAACTGATTGTATTTTAAAATGGTAAAACATGTTGTTAAAGTGTAGAAAGTGAGAAGTCTCCTGGAGCAGTTGAGGGAGGGGGAATGCTTTGCTGCTCTAAGTTCATAGATCTAGAAAAATCTTGGCTCACTCCTAAATTAAACAAAAACAAATTAAAAAACGTGACTTTTTCCACATTTTCTCATAGTGGATCATGATAATATTAACTAGCAGGGCGGAAATATTTCTAAAACAAGCTTAAAAACAAAGGAAAGTTTTTAAAATGTATACATTTGCTCAATTTTCACTCTGACGGGTGCTATTTTATGTTATGACAAATAAAAAGTACCAACTTTATACACTTCTTTTGAACCATAGATTGGCAGAATTTATTTTTCACGTAGGCAGACGTTTCCACTCTTGGCAGTCAACTGCATATTGCAGATGTACCATCAGGAAACTGAAGAGCCTTAGAACATCCAGCTATAGTTTCGGCTCAAATCTGACCCCTTGTGATGGAGTTTGAATCTCCTCTGACCCTGATTGGATCACTTCCGTGTGCCATGCTCAGCTGTTGGTTGATGTACTTCTGGTTTTCAAAGATTGGCTTTAGTCGATGCCTGCGGCTGCAGCCAGGCCAAGGCCAAAGGGTCCAGCTGCTTCCTCTGCAGAAATGATATTTGCTTCAATTAGTGCAAATACCATCACACTCCCTCCCCTCGCCACAACGCCAACTGCAACCCTCCTACCAGCCTGTAGCCTGATCCAGCTCAAGAATGGCTTCTCATAGCAGTCAGCCATATCTAATGCTTGTTGTTATACTGGACTGCTATAATTCTCAGAGGAGAAAGCTGGAGGTTCATCTCCTGGTATCCGATGATGAAATATTCTACCTTGCATTTCCTGTCCATCCTCTTTTCTTCTTCCACCTCCTTCCCTTTCCTCGCAGATAAATGGCTCTTTTAAGCTTGGAGCTGCTCGAGTTCTGGCTAGTTGGCAGATGCAGTGCCTAGTCCCCGGCCTCCAGGACAACGGCAACATGAACGGGACGTCCGAGCAGGCCGACATCCTGCCGCCAAACTGTATGGTTAAGGACCGATGGAAAGTGGTGAGCAGATTGTGTCTGTTTTTAATCTTTTCTGTCTGATGTTTGTAATTTTTTTTCTTGGAGTTCTGAGAGGATGTAGGTCTAAACTCTGATTGTCTCCTCGCCGTGTTCTAGCTGAAGAAGATCGGCGGGGGAGGGTTTGGGGAGATCTACGAGGCCTTGGACCTGCTAACACGGGAGAACGTGGCGTTGAAGGTGGAGTCGGCCCAGCAGCCCAAGCAGGTTCTGAAGATGGAGGTGGCTGTTCTCAAGAAGCTGCAGGGTGAGAGCTGAGAGCTCAGAAGCATAAATTGGCCTTAAAGGAATAGTACACCCAAAACATGATTAGCCTTCATTTTCTACTCACCCCCATGCTGAGCAACACTCTGGAGTACTTTTTTGATATCTCAAATGCATCTGGAGATCTGGGAGGCTTCTTGCTGTCTGCTGACATTCAAATAATGGAGGTCTATGGCGCCCGAGGCAGAAAGGTCCATAAAAGTCCACAAAAAACGTGTCAATATTCCTCCATACTGCTCGTCCAATGTATTCCAAGTGTCCTGAGTGGGTAGCATCCAGAATTTACTCGAAACGAAGTCATTTAGAATGTTTTTAGAGCATAAACAGTAGTGTATAGGATTTCCTAAAAGCGCGTTCACGACGCTACGGAATCCGAAGCAGACCAAACCAGATGAAAGTGCGCATTCAGCGTCTGCTCTGCCGATAATGCAAGCGTAGAAGAAGAAATGTGCTGTTTACCTGTGCAAAGAAAGAAACAACGAAAGAAAAATGTCTGAGGACTTCAGTGTTGAGGAAGAGCATGAGTTCTTTGCCGAGCTGAATGCGCACTTTCATCTGGTTTGGTCTGCCGGCTTCCGTAGAATCGTGAACGCGCTTTTAGGAAATCCTATACACTACTGTTTATGCTCTAAAAACATTCTAAATGACTTCGTTTCGAGTAAATTATGGACGCTACCCACTCAGGACACTTGGAATACATTGGACGAGCAGTATGGAGGAATATTGACACGTTTTTTGTGGACTTTTATGGACCTTTCTGTCTCGGGCGCCATAGACCTCCATTATTTGAATGTCAGCAGACAGCAAGAAGCCTCCCAGATCTCCAGATGCATTTGAGATATCAAAAAAGTACTCCAGAGTGTTGTTCAGCATGGGGGTGAGTAGAAAATGAAGGCTAATCATGTTTTGGGTGTACTATTCCTTTAAGGGGCATCAGCAACAGAGCAGCTCATTGCAGGCTTATAATTACCCATCATAAAAAGAGGGTAAAAATAAATTCAACAATGGTCTGTTTATATCTTAAAATGATCATTGCATAAATCATGCGTCTTAATTGCTGCTTAATGCGCTGCTACATCAGCTAATTATTTCCAGTCTCCTTCTGCTGAGGTAATACTGTCTCTGCTCTGTCACACTATGATGTGTTTGGAACGACTAAGCTCCAATATAAGAAAAAGATTATTAACTCCTCCTCTTTTGGTATTTAATGTGGTGAAGAATACAAAGTGTGAAATGAACTGAATATAAATAGACTCTGATTTGGGGATTTAAAGTTATTTTAATGTTGTTTTAGGAGAGTGCACTGCAAAAATGATCAAGAAATAAGTAAATATTTCTTAAATTAAGTGTATTTCCCATAATTTGAGTACATAAATAAGATGATCTGCCAATGGAATTAGTACTTTACTCTTAAAATAAGATAATTGGATAATATACACTTCTTATTTTAAATGTAAATTGTCTTTTTCCAAAGTGGCAAAGTGTCTCACTTACCTCCTTGTTTTAAGATATAATGACTTGGTAAGATATCAATTTTTTGCAGTGTGTAACTTAACCTTTAAATGTTTGTTGTTGTTTTTTTTTTTTTAGGTAAAAACCACGTCTGTAAGTTTATCGGCTGTGGAAGAAATGACAAATTTAACTACGTGGTGATGCAGCTTCAGGTGAGTCAGTGTGTGGGTGACTTTAAGCAGTAGGCTGGCGGCGCCCGTCAGCAGCAGATTACAGCCTTTATTCTGCATTTCTATGCTGCTATGTTGTTCTTTTAAGAGCTTCAGAAAAGAAGTGGTGTGGTGTTATTGCATTGAAAGCGCTCCTGTGACAAAGACTCATACGTTTTAATTCCCAAATAGTTTTTTGTACTCTGAGAAAAAAGCTTAGAATGTTTGCTTTCCAGGAATAACCTGTGTTGTCTTACTGTAGTTTCCCAGATCAGATCATTTAAAGATAATCTCTGATTATTTAAAGGCTTTAAACATCTAATAATAAATAATTCAGTAGATTTTTTTTGATCTGAAGACCAAAATCCAGTCTTTAAATCCTCAAACACAACGCTATATCTGACATTTTCAATTTAAAATCCTTCTTGGATGGGAAGCGAAACTTCTTGAAACTTGGAAACAAAGTCCAGTGGATTGTTTTTTTTTTTTTTTTTGACTTTTTTGGAATGACTATAACCTGGATGACTCATAATCTTCACCAGCAAGAAGAACTTCCTGTTTTGCACATGTGCAGTATGCAAGAATCTGGTAAATTGGCTTGTAGACGATCGTAAATCTGCTTTAACAGCAGAATTTGCTCACAAACACCTAACAAGGGCCGACTGAATTTCAAACATGTTTGATCCGGTAGTGGTCGTGAGAGGCTAATTGCCCCTCGTTACAATTAGGGGTGGGTATTGCCAAAGAAGTTACGATTCGATTCGAATCACGATTCATAGGCCACGATGCGATTCTATCA